AGAAGAAGAAAGAAAGGGGGCATAGTGAAGAGAGAGAGAGAGAGACTGAGAAAGCAAGCACTCTTCTCTGAAAACTTTATCAGTATATCAGTCTGAAACATCAGCAGCCACATGGCTCAATGCTGTTCTTCAGCCTCATTGCTAGGTATTGTTGGGTGAAATTACATATGCGTCCAAACCCTGCCTCTGGGAGGGGTCGGGGGCAGGGCTGGGGAGAACATAATGAGATGATTTTAAAGCCCTGTTAACTTTTTCCATTTTAATAGATCTTTCTGGATGAGGCACCAACTCTCTTGGGAGGCCAGTTCTAAGGCATTCCATGGAACCCAAAGCTAGCTATAAAAGATTGGCTTGGGGCAGAGCTGATGGGGAAAGAGTTGCACTTGAATTTCTAGTTATTCCAAGTCTAGATTCAGAAGGCCTCAATTAGGGGAGGAAGCCACCTATTTACACTCCAGTCCCACAAGAAACTCAGGATGGAATAACCTCAGAACTCTCTTCATCTTTTATGGTTTGAGAGTCAGAATTTCTTGCCTATTAGTAGTGAGGAGCATTTACATTCAAATTAAGGCTCAGAGGGGTTGAGGAAATACACCAAGACCACATAACCAGAAGCAGCAGAACTAGACTTCAGAGTTAGGTCTGGTGGATCCCAAGCCCACGGTTTTCTCCTCCATGAACAATATATCAGCACAGGATAAGTCTGTGAGGCTGCAAAGATGAATGAGACATAGTCCCTACCCCTAGGAGCTGAGATAGAAACAAAGATTGAGGGCGTCTTAGGGAGTTTTTGTTCTAATTCCATTTGAGACTCACTTTGGACTTAAGCATGTTCTTGCAGTGAGAGACTCTCCTTAGACCTCCATGTTTGCATTTATCAAATGAAGAATAATGGCTACCATCAATTAAAATATACCTTTTAATATGCTCAAGAATGTACAAAATATTCTTAGGTCCTTAGCACTAAGTCAAGGCAAAGTGTCACTCCTATTATTAATGGGTAATAGGCACTGCTACAAAGAACATTTAAGTCTGATGTTCTGTGCATTAGTAAAATGAATTTGTGTAGTGAGTAAGGTGACCTCATACTAGCTCTCTTCATACAAACTGATAGGGACTGGAGCAACTGAAGGTGAAAAGATTTTGAGGTCCAGATCTTGGCTTGGATTGTGCTAATTAGGAAAAGGCCTAGCTGAATTACAATAACAATGGGAACAGAGCAGACAAGAAATCTTAGTACCAAAACACTGGGTCAGGAGAAACAATTGGGTAACAACCAGTGGGTGAAAGAAAGTACCCAATTCTTCAGTCATACAGTCTTTCATCTTGTGATCTGAATCCATGCAACAGTGCCACTTGACAAACTGCCTGGGCTTATCACAAAGCAGGTAAATCTACCCTTGGGCAGAGTGTGCACTGAACAAAATCAACAAACTCCATGCCTTCCTCCCATGGGAGACTGCAGACGTCAGAGGGGGTTCTGGCTTAGCATGCCATGAGGAGGCTGTGCAGAAAGAGACTCTGGTCAAGGCTCTGTAAAGCTCTGTGGAGTCTGTGGGGAACAATAAGAATGCAGAATATAAATGTAAGCTGCAGGCTGATGGGCCCATTAGGAATTAGGGCAGTCTTTGAAAGGAATCTGCGGAGATGATGCAAAACACCAAGCATGTGACCCAAATCATGGCAGGGCATATTGGAAGGAGAAGGGAATGGGAATGAGACATTTTCTAATCTGATTAGTCTGAAGTTTCCCCTGAGTGTGGAGAAGGGTCACCGCACAATTAGAGGCAAAGTTAGACTGAACATGGTCTGCTTAGCAGTGGAGAGGGGTGAACTCCTCAAAGCTAAGCTGGGCAGGGAGGCAGATGTGTTTAGAGACAGAAACAACTTTGAAAGCAAGTTGCGGAATCTTTTTTTTTTTTTTTTTTTTTTTTTGCATTTAATGTCAAATTGTAAAGGCAAAGACAAAACAGTCTGCTGAGAGAATGGGAGGATGATGACTTGGTGGCCTCAGCACTGGCTAAGAAACCTCTAGGTCCTCCAGAGGCCAGGCTCCCACATTACTGGACTTTCTAGGACAACTCGTCCTCAGGCCCATCAAGAGATAATCTAATAAACATCCCAGCTTCCTGACTAGAAGACAGCTTAATGTGTGAAAAGCATCCAGATCCAACTATTGAAAAACAAGACTTCCTTCATAAAGAAGGACACAGGATTCTCCCAGTTCATTTCTAAGTCAGACTGTGTGGTCTATGGTCCCTGACTTCAACTTCTCTCTTAGACCCTAGTCAATAGTTAGCATCAGGTGCTGTGTTGGGTACTTTATATACATTATCTCAATTACTCCTTTGAATCAGTAGGAAGTAAATACTGTTGTCTGTTTGTGTTAGTCAACTTTTTTTGCTGTGACCAAAATACCTGACAAACAACTTAAAGGATGAAAAAGTTTATTTTGGCTTCCAGTTTCAGTCCATGGCTGGCCAGTCTATTGCTTTGGATCTGAGGTGAGGTAGCACATTGTGGTAAAAGGAGGTGGTAAAGGGAAGCTGCTCAACTCATTGTAGTCAGGAAGGAAGGGTGGGGAAGAAGTCAGGGACAAGATGTCTTGTCCCCAAGGGCATACCCTCAGTGACCTACTTCCTTCAAAAATGCCCCTCTTGTCTTCAGTTTCCATCTCCTCCCAATAGTCCATTCAAATTATTCATCCCTCAGTGGACTAATCCACTGGTGAGGTCAGAGCCCTCATGATCCAGTCACTTCTCAAAAGCCCCACCTCTGGACATTACTACATTGGAGACCAAGTCTTTAACACATGAGCTTTTGGGAGACATTCTGAACCAAATCATAACACTCTTTTTAGAGGTAAGGAATCTGAGATTTAAGCAGGTCCAAACTCTTGCTCAAGATCACATAGCTAGTAAGTAGATTCAAAGAATATGAAAAACAAGGTAGGGAAGTAAAACTGCCAAGATGTGACAATTCATTGATTGTTTACTGGTGGTAAATTAAAGGGGTTAGAAGCAGGTGTTTGCATCTAAATGGATCAAAAGTCAAGTCACAACTCTTCATTATAAGGTAAGGGATAAAAAGAGAAATATAAATAGTGTTGTGAGAAATCTTAGGATACAATCACTTCAATCATCAGCCAAGCAAATGTGAGAGGGATTCATGGATATGGTGGCATTTGAAATGGGTCTTGAAGGAAGAGCTGGCTTTCAGTAGGTGAAGAAAATTGGGAGCTATTTCCTATGAAAGAAATAGCCAGAGAAAAGGCAAAAAAGGTAGGAAAACATGAGAAATATGTATAAAATGCTAGATGGCCCAATTTCACTGGCATATCGGGAAAATGAAGGAGTGCTTTGGGAATGTGATAACTACAGAGAATTCTGACTCCTAGGCACATGTACTTCATCTCAGGTCTTTTACACCAGGATGACTTACTTATCCTTCATACTACTACTAGAAAATAAAAGAAAATGAGCTAAAACTAACAAACAAAACAAATAGAACCGATAGTCTAGAAAATTACTCCAGGTCAATCTAATGCATATACACACACATATCCAAAGGGGTTTACCCTTCTCTTGATTTTCCTCCTGACGCTTGGACCCTAGTTCTCCAAATGGGAATTTGTTTTTATCTCTTCCTTTGGTTTCTCCTTTAGTCTCAGACAAAGGACATCCCACCCAACCCCTGCTTGAGAACAACACTCCAACTGGAAACCCTAAGTCCCATGATGGAGAAGGAGGAAAAGTAGTTTAAAACTAAAGACTTTGGTCTTAGGAAGCAATGAGATACTACAAAAGGTTTGTGAGTAGAAGAGTGACACAATGATATTTTTGCTCTTAGAAGATATTTAGTTGTAGTCCGTAAAGGTAGATTTAAAAATTTAGACACTGGTGGAAGAAAGACTAAGGTGGAGGACCTGAAATAGTCAAGAAGAAATGTAGATCAGAACAAGTGTAATGATAATGATAATGAAGAGGAGACAGTGGGTATAGGCAGCAGGAAGGAGGTAGAACTCTTAAAGACATCCTAATATATTGGCTATTGACAATTATTCAAAATTGATATAAGTGGGCTAGGGTTTTAGCTCAGGGGTAGAGCACTTACATAGCATGTACAAGGTCCTGGGTTTGATCTCTAGTACAAAAGAAAATTTGTTAGAATCAAGGCATGTGCATTTAAAAGGTTCAGGGATCAAGTCACAATGCTGCTTCTTCTAGACTATAAGACTAGGCAAAATACCTTATTTCTCTAAACCTCAACATCCTCATGTATAAGACAGGAAGGATAATAGTTCTGACCACACTACGTTATTCTCAAAAAATAAATAAAATAATGCATCCAAAGCAATGATTACAATGCCTAGCATGAAGTCAAAAATGTCAAAATTATCAAGACATCTAAGTCAGTGGAGGAGCTGGAGCAATACCATAGGAAACATAAAAGATGACCAGAATCTGAGGAATGGGACAGGTGCTGCCAGAAAGTCAGAAGTCATGTTCAACAGAAGCAATGTGTTTTAGAAAGCAATTCATTATGCTTTCCTTTTATGCCATCATAATATGTATATATTTTATATATAGTGCTCCAGCAAGTCCTATGCTAATAACCCTAGATCCTTTTACCACATGTTTTAGTCATCAGGAACTACTGCTTCGAAAAACCTACCCCAAATTTTACATCTAATGTTCTCACAATCAGTTAAGTTGTACATTTACTTTTTTCTCAGAAATATATATATATATATATATATATATATATATATATATATATATGATAATGTCAAAATGATAATAATTCATAATAGGCTCTCTAACATTTAAAATCATGACTAACTTCTCCTTTTATAGTATTTAAATGGAAGTGGCTCTTCAATGATATAATCAAAATAGTTATGGTCAATTTAAGGGTAATTAAAGGGAGATGTAAAAGCAGAAATTGTCTCTAAAACAAAAATATGCAGAAGAATCCCATCATGGGGATATCTTACTTACCTGGATAGTAAGTTTCCTAGAAGATCATCACTCAAAGGTAACCTGGAGGACTTGCACAGCCTTTGGATGTCTTTGGTGGGTAATACATGTTTTCTGCATTAAAAAAATGTATTGACTTTTATATACTTTGTGTCTCTCTGGTAAAATTACATGTTATAAGAAAAAAAATACAAATGTGATATGTCCTAAAAATATGCACATGAAAGTAAGTATGAGAACTTGTATTGGAGTTCATAGTAAGGAAAAACAGTCATATTGCATTTCACCCACTTTTTCCATTTTAGAGGTCACCAAATTCTGTCATTATGAAGGCCTCTCCTTCAAGATTCAGATTCTTGGTTGGTGATAGTACTGCCTATTAAGGCTGTAACCACGAGTGTTGCTCTTAGTAATCGATCTGCATTCTTGACCACTAGTCAAAAACAGTTTTGATATCTGAAAACATCTCCTAATTTGACAGGCATCTAGAGCCTCCAACACAAGTATGATATGACTTGAGGGCATTTTTCTGGTCTTTTTTTTGGATCCAAACCCAGCTGGGGCCTTAACATTCACTTTGATTTTGTCCAATGCAAGTCAAAACGACTCTAGAGGAGGCCCAATGGTCATTTCAGTAGTCTCACTTGGCCGATGTTTTCCCAGGCACCATGCAAAATGAGAAACAAGAAGAAAGAAAGTGGGCTCTTTTCTTTGCAATGAGAATGTTGATATTTCCAATCAAAGGTTGTTGGATCTATAAGAACCCCATGCTGTCTGATTAAGCAACCCCAATACTCCCAAGAAGTTTTCATTTAGCAAAGGAGGGTCAGGTTCCTCACCCTGGGGAAGGGGCACCACCATGGTTCAAGGTAGAGCCAGAATTATGCAAAGACCAGTCCAAAGATCCTCTGGGAGGTTCAAGGAAGCTTAAAGCTTTAATGAAAAATAATATTTCAATAAGGATGCATTATAGATTAGAGAAACTATGGTACCTTCAAAGATACTTAGGGCATGTAGCTGGCCATTTGGGTGTAGACTTCAAGTCTGGGGATGAACAAGGGGGTCAGAGGGAAGAGAAATGGCAGTGGTATGTAGTAAAAGGGCTAGAAGCTAGAGTGAGAACTAAGATTTTTCTAACTCTAGATAAAATCAATAATTTTTACGTCTCCCCACTATATCAGATCTATGGATAAGATGAAATCCAAAACATAGTGAGATGTTTGGATCCATTTGTACATAACAATGGTTTAATAAAACTGTACACACACATGTTCAGTGTACTAGAAATAGATTGCACTAAGCATCATTACTTTTAAGAAGAAATAATTTATTTTAAACTTTATTTATTTATTCATTTTAGTTGTTGATGGACTTTTATTTTTTATTTACATGTGGTGCTGAGAATCGAACCCAGTGCCTCACACATTCGAGGCAAGCACTCTACCACTGAGCTACAACCTCAGCCCCAAGAAGAATAATTTAAAAGAAATTCTGTAGAAAGTTTAATTATAAATTCTCTGCCCTGTGTATTATAAAAGTCACATTTATAAATCCCAATTAGTACTAAAACAATGTAAGAAGATATCTTAGAATTAAACATGCTAATGTCTTGATTTACTATGCTTCAGTTGAAAGCTTCTAGAAGCAAATGAAAATAAAAGGGGAGAGCCTATTCTTTTAAAGACATAGGGCCTCCCCTGTTCCCTAAGTATTTAAGGTGGCTTTGCTAAAAGGTAGAGTATGATGAGACATATCAATTTTCTTTTTGCCCTTTTGGATGAATATAAATTCCTTCATTACTCAGGTTCACATAAACTTAAATGATTTATTAGAATCAATAAAATGAAGCTTACTTTTCTCGATCTTCATACACACAGTTAAAAATGAGTCTGTCAAAATTCTCATATATATTTTTCTTGAGCTTTTCATGGGCCTGTGCAATTAAGATATTCACATCTGTACTCATGTCCTCAGGCACACGGTAGTAGCGTGCAATGGTGATAACCTCCTGGTCTATAAGCCTCCTAGATGTTACATTCATCAATAAATCTCTGTAAAGGAAATAGGAAAATGATATCTAAGAATATTTTACCTCTCCTTCTATTAAAAGGATCCAAATTTCATTTCATGAAACTTTTACCAACAGTGTAGAGGTCAGAAAATTAACGTCTTTTAACTTAATTCTTATACTTTAGGAGCAGCAGGAAGGTACAAATGCTAGAATGAGAAATCATCAGTACTATGGTTTATAAGCAAAATGGCATTTTTCCAGAGTCAAATTTCTATCAGGTAACAGCCTACAACCAAGAAGTAAATTGTTGAAGTCCTTGAATGGTCAAAATACCTGTCACTAAGTTCATGACTTTAAAAATGTCTATTAAACTTCCTTACACAAAATAGTAACTGACTTAGGTTTCTGGTTTCCCAGGACACAAAATTTATAAATCAATAAATCAGAACTGTGTTTTGGAAATGGGGAAAGCAATTATGCACATTTCTGTAATAAAAAGTAAAAACTTAAAAATAAGAAGAAAGTTAAAAGAGTTATGTAAGGATACAGTTGTCTGACTTTTTAGAAGGCAAATGGCATTAAGATTATTCGGCAGAGATAAAAAATAAATAACAACAACATATTAACAATGGAGGCCCAAAGCATAACAAGACTATTTTATTTTCAGCGTGTCCTGTGTGAAGCTATAGACTATGTAGCATACATTAGGAAGAATTATATAAGTGATTAAAATGCAAAAATATTATGGTGGTTACATGAATTAGCTTCCATAAGAAAAACTTTCTTACTTGAAATAATTCAACTCTCAAAACTCCCAAATAATTCAACTCCCCAAAATCCCAAATAAAGGAAGAAAATAAAATTTTATTATAGATTGGTTTTTCAGAAGAATGGCTTTTAGTTCTTTTAGATAATTCTGGCCATTATCACTATCATTTAAGAATTCTAGCTGGGTACAATGGCACATACCTGTAATCCCAGTGGCTCAGGAGGCTGAGGCAAGAGGATTGATTACAAATTCAATCCAGCCTCAGCAACTTAGTGAGGCCCTAAACAACTTAGTGAGACCCTGTCTCTAAATTAAATACCAAAAAAAGGTAACAATGGCTGTGGGTCAGTGGTTAAGCACCCCTGGGTTCAATCTCCAATACAAAAAAAAAAAAAAAAAATTCTAGGTTCCCCTAGAATTTCTTTAGATCGAGTCTAAGAAAGCCCATAATGTTCTTTCCAAAGGAAATGCATTTTACCTACATCTACTTCTCAAGGTTTTGAGTTTTTTGGTTTGGTTTTATATTTTTAATGGGAAATGAGGGCCAAATGCAATCAAGGGGAGCCCACAATTTCAGAGAGTCAGGTCAGATAATCAATCAGGAAATCTGACAAGGGGATCACTCTATGGAAAACACTATAAAAGATACTCTGGCATCTGAACTTTTCAGTCCATACTCCAAGCATTCAGATGAGATCTCAAAGCTGCAAGATTGTAGAGCCAATTGAATGAAATGAGTAATAGCAATAACAACCTCTACCATTTACTGTGGTCTTGCTATATGCCTGGTCATCTGCTGCCAGGTACTTTTAGCATGGATTGTCTCATCTGACCTAAGAGGTAAGGTACTATTATCATCCTCATTTTACAGATGAGAACATTGAGACACTGAAATGTTAAGTTATCCACCCCATATCACAAAATCCAGAATGAAAACGCTGTCTGGCTTCAAAGCCCATGCTTCTGTATATTCCTCTATCCCCCGTCCTCCGTTGGGAAAGAAGATAGAATAGAAGTGGTGTGGAGCTCAGGTGAAACTTCCTAAAGGCAGTGAATTTTGAGCTGATTTTTTTAATGTCCCTCTCTTCCTTTTACTATCCATGCTATGGTTTGAATGTGTGTCCCCAAAGTTCATGGGTTGGAAATCTAATCTTCCAATTCATGTGTTAATGGTTAGAAGATAGACCTTCAGGAGGTAATCAGGATTAGATGAGGTCATGAAGGTAAGGTAGGGCCCCTATGATGGCATTAGCAGCTTTATAAGAAGAGGAAGAGAGACCTGAGCTAGTAAGCTTGCTGTTGTGCCATGTGATACCTCCCACCATGTCATGAGGCAGCAAGGCCCTCACCAAATGCCAAGCAGATGCCCACATCATGCTCTTGGACTTCACACACTCCAGAATCATGAGCCCAACATGTGTCTATTTATTGTAAATTACTGTGTCTCAGGTATCTTGTAATAGCAACAGAAAATGGAATAAGACAATTCATTACCTCTCCTTTGAGGACTATCCTTAGCCAGCACAAAAAGGTAAGAGAAAATAATTTCAGAAACATTGAGTCACCAGCCATCTCTGACAGGGTGGGTAACTGATCATAGAAGAGATGCTACAAGGAAAGCCCTGGCTCATTTGCAGCATTGGTCACGGAATAATCAGTCATGATCATACATAAAATGAAACACTATACAACTATTAATGCTATGTTGATTGGTATTTGTTTGTATAAAATATGTCTAGAGAGGGACTGGGGTTATGGCTCAGTGTTAGAGCACTTGCCTAGTATGTGAGGCCCTGGGTTCAATCCTCAGCACCACATAAAAATAAATAAATAAAATAAAGGTATTGTGTCCATCTACAACTGGAAAAAAAAAAGAGATGTTTGGGCTATGTTGATGTAACACGATCCCAGTGAAACTCAATATATAGGTGCATATAGAGTCATAAGGAGAAAGAAAACACAGAGAAGAGATGGACCAAAACATCAATAGCAGTATCCTTCATTGCCAAGATTTCTTTTTTTAAAAGGCATTTTCATTTTTCTCAGCTTTTGTAACAATCAAATATTACTTTCATTATCAGAAATAAAACCTTTCAAACAGCTTTTTCCTTTTGCAAGTAGACTAGTGTGTGAAGAAGAGCAAGCGGCACACACCCAAGGACAAGGAAAAAAAAAAAAAAACATGTGCAGCAATAACTAGAAACTTTCCACGCACCTTTAACTAAACTTATTATAGTACCACCAGATCATAAAAGTTTATTTTCCTTTTCATTGGATAAACTGAAATTATCCTGGCTTCACTGCAGTTAAAATTTATATCTGCTGGGATTTTGTATGCTTGGATTTTAAACAGCTCAGTATTCCACAGCATTACATGGCATTATGTGAGAGCTTCTAACAAGCTATGCCATACTTAAAACTGTCATCAGTCCTGCAGGGCATCAGAGGACTTGCAGCAGCTACCCCTGTGGCTGCAATACCCACAGGAGGCAGATTGCTGAACCAGGGATCTCAACCATGGCATCTCAGTCTCGCTTTGCAGATCTCAACAGGCTGCCACTACTTTGCCCTGCATTTGCCATGTGTGCCTTTTTTTAGGACTTGCTCCATTTTATCTAGTTGGGCATGGTGGCGCACACCTGTAATCCCAGCCACTTGGGATCCTGAGGCAGGAGGATCATGAGTTCAAAGCCAGCCTCAGCAACTTAGCAAGGCCCTAAGGGAGACCCTGTCTCTAGACAAAATATTTAAAAGGGCTGGGGATGTGGCTCAGCAGTTAAGCACCCCTGAGTTCAATCCCTGGTACCAAAAAAACAAAACAAAACAAACAAACAAACAAAAACTTTTAATAGGCCTCAAAGAATTAGGGTCTTTTTAAAAGTAGTACACTCCATTTTTATTGTGACAAAGTACACATGGCATGAAATTCACCATTTGTGACATTTATGACATTGGCAATGTTGTGCAACTACCACTTTTATCTAGTTCCAAAACATTTTCATCATCTCAAAGAAACCCCATGCCCATTAAGCAGTTACTCTCCTTTCCTTCCTCCCCACAGTCCTCTCTCCTACCCAGCAACCACCAATTTGCTTTCTACCTCCGGACTTGACAATTCTGGATATTTCATATAAATGGAATCATATGTGGTCTTTAGTGACTTGTTTTTCTTCCTTAATACATGTTTTCAGGGTTCATTCATGCTGTAACATGCTTAGGTATTTCACACTTTTTTATGACTGAAAAATATACCATTATATGAATGTACTACATTTGGCTTATCCATTTGCTCTGATGGATATTTGGGTTGTTTCTACCCTTTTTTTGGGGGGTGGTACTAGGGATTGAACTCAGGGGCACTCAACCACTGAGCCACATCCCCAGCCCTATTTTGTATTTTATTTAGAGACAGGGTCTCACTGAGTTGCTTAGCACCTCACTTTTGCTGAAGCTGGCTTTGAACTCGTGATCCTCCTGCCTCAGCCTCCCAAGCCACTGGGATTATAGGCGTGCACCACTGCACCCAGCATTTCTACCTATTGTCAATAGTACTGCTATGAACGTGTGTAAAAGATTTTGTTTGAACATCTGTCTTCAGTTCTTTTGGGTATATGTACTCCGGAGTAGGATTGCTGGGTCATACAGTAACTCTACATTTAACCCGTTGGGAAAATACCAAACATTTTTCTGCACACTTCACTTTTGCTTTGTAGCAATTGCAAAAACAAAGGTCCAAATTCCATCAAGCATAGACATTCCTCACTTATAACTTCAGAGTGAACTGAAATAAGATCTGATGCCATCATCTGATCTCAGTACTTCTTGCTCACTCATTTAAGGGGAATAAAAATGCATTTAAAAAGTGGTTATGAATTGTATTGATCATGTGCTTGCTGGTTGATATTAGCTAATATTAAGGATTCAAAGGTCAACTTACCTTTGTCTTTACCCAACATATTTTATACAGTATAATACTGTATTATAACACTATTATTTAGTTACTTTCATAAGGGATACTGCCATGATTTTCTCTGTTTTTATAATTAAAGTCATAAAACTGGAAAAAATGCCAAACTGCTCTAGGTTATTGAGGTAACTATGCAGAATTTTGAAACATGAAATGTTAAACAGTTTTACAAGACATAATTCCATTAAAGTCATCCAGTCAAGTAATAGTGAATCAAAACTTCCTTTTAAAGCTCTGAATCTCACGGTATTTTCTTACATATTGAATCATTCAAAGTCTAAGCAATGTCTTTCAAATAAACTTT